CCCCCCGATGAACACACCAGTGAGGGAGGGCGAGACGGTCGAGGGGTCCCGTACCATGCGGAACTGACCCTATCCAGTGCTCAAGTGCTCAAGCACCTGCGGCGTCCTCATCGACGTCGCGGCACCAGGTTTTGTCGGCAACAAACGCCGATCCGACGACTACCAAGACCATGAATGCTGGGTAGAAAGTCTCACCAATTTCGTAAACCCACTTTGGGAAGGTGCACACCTTGAACCCGCAAACATCGACGGCGACGGCCTCACTCATCGTCGTGCATATTGATCGCGGAATCGGTCTGTTCGCAGAGGTTGCGCAGCGCACTTGGAATAAGCATCTCGTGCTACCCAAAAGTGGTCCTTCGCGCTTTGGTCCCTAACCAAAAAAAGCACGTTCTCAGAAAAGAGCGGACGGACGGAAAAACACCCCCATTTTACAGTGGGTTGCGGGCATTAAGAAAACAGGATTGCGCGGCACGCCGCCGTTTCTAGGCCTTTCCACAGCCCTCATCCACCCCGCGCCGTGGTTTCTTAGCTCCGGCCGGCACTCAAGCCAGCAGAGCCGGCGGGCCCGAAGGATTTTTAGGTAAGTAAGAGGTAAGCTGTAAGCTGCCGGTCCGCGAGGGCGATGCCAGAGTCTGCCGCTGAGTCGGCTCTCTGGATGACGGGGGAAGACGCACACACGCCTCCATCCACTCCACTCAGAACACCGCAGACTTGGAAAGTGACAAGTGCGCGCGCCGCAGGCGAAGAGAAATTTTTGAGCTGGGGCTCCCGTTCACACACAGTGAATCACACACTCGTTTCTGGCCTTTTCTCGGGGCCGCGTCTGCGGCGCGCCGTGGTTTCTTAGATTTTTGCGGAAATCGCTCGGCGTGGTTTCTTAATACTACGTTTTCTTAATGCCCGCAACCCACTGTATGCCTGACCCTGGGCATGCCTCTCTGGGGGTGAGCTGGGTCGGCCACCTCCGGGGCTGCAACTCGCACGGTGGGTCCGCTTCCGGGCGAGCATCCGAGGCCTGCGGTTGTCCCTTCGCTGGGCGCGACCGCCATGGAGATCCGCTGCACACAGATCAGTGTTTTTGGCGACTATTGCTCGCTCTCTGTGCAATCGCAACGCCAGAGGCCGTGCTTGGAGAATGGGTCGCAATGCTGCTGCGCCAGTGGATTGAGCCGCTCCGCAAGCTCCATCGGTGAGCTGCGGTGGCGCGCCGGCCGCTTCATGCATAGCTCTCGGGCGAGCTGCGCAAACGCGTTTTCCGTCCGCCCGTTTCATCGAGTTTGCCCGAGTGGTAAAATGCAATCGAATTTGCCCGAATGGTAAGGTGCAACTTCTGCATTTGGTAAAAGTTGCCCGAGTGGTCGCCCGTCGTCAGTGTTGTGGGCGCGTGGTAAGAGACGATTCCGTACGTACGGCCCTCCCGCAGTGTCACTGGCTCACTGCGCCCAAAGACTTTGCGGCAAAGATATCAGGCGCCACGCCGGAGAGGGGGTCGACTCCCCCGCGCCGGCCGCGCCGCGAGAGCGAGAAAGCGCGTGTTCGGACCATTGAGCGTTGTCGTAACTATTAAGGAGCCGTAAAATCGAGGGGTCCCGTACCATGCGGAACCGACCCATCCAGTGCTCAAGTGCTCAAGCCGTAAAAGTGCAACGCCCAGTGAAGCGTGGGTCGCCAATCTGGCAGATTCCATCTCATCGCACATCGGATCGGATCGGTCATCGGAGTGGGGTGATGCTGATTCCGGTCCGGGTTGTCTTTGTGGTAGAAGGGAGCTTCAGGCCGGCCGAGGTTCTGAGGGAGACGGCGAGAAGAAAGAAAACAGACACCGCAGGGAGGGACGGGAGGATGGCACGCCGCCACCACACAGGGATCTCACTACCGCCGTTGGTTGAAGCGAAAAACAAAACAAGTGTTGTTTGGTATTGCTAAAAATCTCTCTCTTGAAGCGTGCGTGTCCGCGCCGGGAGGCGGCCTGAGCCAGCCAGCGTTGCGTCGGCCAGGCATGAGGGCAGGTGGCGGTGTATCCGCGAGAGAGCCGGCATGAGGGCACCCCGCTTTCTTTTTTCGTCGTGCACAAGCACTGGTGAGGGACTTTTCCGGAAAATCACACACGAAAAGAAAAAGGGGCAATTGTGACACGCGCGACCGCCGAGACGCGGGCGGAAGGGCGTGCGCACGCCGCCACCCCGAGCAACCGCTTCTCACTGAAGGCGCTCGCCTTCCGTGCCGGTGACCACCGCGCTAGAGCCGTGCTTCCCCGCCATGAGCCACGCCCCGACGCCGTCCGCGACAGCGCGCGGGAGGGCCCACTCTGTGATGAGTGTCAGGAACCATCGGGCGACCGCCAAGAAAATCTGCCCTCGTCACTCTCGCAGGTACAACATGGGTTGCGGGTCTTCGACTTTTGAAGAAGGACAGACGCCGAAATGCGGCATCGCCCTCCTCGACGAGGCCGCCGTCACGAGCGGCGGCATCGCCAGCAAACTGTCTGAGGTCAACAGCGCGTTTGAGGTGCGAGTGCGAGCCAAAACCTTCCCTGCGCTAAAGAGGGCGTCTAAAGCGACCGATCATTCTGCCCCTGCGCTATCACCCGCTGACCCGTCACCTGGAGGTCGAGCATCAGTTTGGCCACCTCCGTCCTAGTCGGCGCACTCACCCTCTCCTTCATAGCCGGGCGTTAGCTTAGGCCGTGCTCAAGGCTCTGCGCGCGTACGTCAAGGCGGCCGTGTCCAACTTTGCCGAATCGGGGATGTCCAACCCCCTGGCGGAGATTGTCGGAGCCTTTACTGCGAACGTCTCGTTCATGAACGGAGCGTGCCCGATCGTGATTGATTTCGGTAAGCTCGAGATCGCGGGCATCGCCAACGCCGTCATGCAGGAGCTTAAGGATGCTGAGACCGCGGTTGCTTCCGCGCTTGAGGGCCTCGCAAAGGTCATCGGGGACATCGAGAAGCTTGTCAACACGTGCCAGAAGTACCTTGACAACCCTGAAGCCGCCCTCAGCGAGGCTATGACGGGCAACATCTGCAACGCAATGACGGTTGGCAAGCGCATCTGCGGCGCCATCAAGGAGCTGAAACCCCGCCTGAACGCCGTCAAGACGCACGGCGAGGCCCTCTGCGGAGAGGTGACCGACGTGATCACTATATCGGAGACGAAGGCGGCATCGGCGGACAAGGCGGCCGAGGCGAACCCGGACGCCGCCACGCTGGTGGCGCTCCTCTACCCGCTGTACAAGGACCCCAACCGGCCCCCGCCAAAGTACCTTCAAATTGGCGAGCACGGCGCGGCGGGGACTGTGCTAGAGTCAAACGCCGCGCCAGACGCCGCGCCAGACGACGTCAAAGAGGTCGCAACGTTCGCGACGGAGATGGTGACGGAGGCAGCGCCAGAGGCCGCCAAGGCGATGGCGTCCGCGGCCGAGGCGGCGGCCGAGGCGGCGGAGGTGGTCGAGGCGGCGACGGCGGCCGAGACGGCGAAGGCCGAGGCGGCGAAGGTGGCCGAGGCGGCGGCGGCGGCCGAGGCGGCGAAGGTGGCCGAGGCGGCGAAGGCCGAGGCGGCGAAGGTGGCCGAGGCGGAGGCGAAGGCGGAGGTGGCGGCGAAGGCCGAGGCGGCGGCGGCGGCCGAGGCGGCGAAGGCCGAGGCGGCGAAGGTGGCCGAGGCGGCAAAGGTGGCCGAGGCAGCGGCGGCGGCCGAGGCGGCGAAGGTGGCCGAGGTGGCCAAAGCGGCCAAGGCAGCGGCGGCGGCTGAGGCAAAAGCGGCGGCGGCGAAGGCGAGGAAGGCAGCGGAGGCTGTTACCGCTGCCGTACCGGCGCTGCCTCGCTCGATCTTCTAGAATCTCCCCCCGAGACCGGGTGCGGGTCTCCGGCGCCGGCGGCGAAGTTCGTATGTGGGTCGAGCCATCGACGCCGGGTGCGAAGTTCGCGACACTAAATAAAACAGCGCTCCATCAACATTGACATTTGGGTGTGTGGTGTCCGTTTTATTTATTTGACAGCGTTGCGCCCAAGGCGCCCTTCATGGCGCCCTTCACCTCAGGTACGTGCGCCAACTCGACCATGGGCAGCTCAAAATACCACGCTCGTCAGTGGGGAAAAAACCAAAGCGGAAAGGTGGCCCCAAGAGCTAAAGGTCAACATCCCCTCCGGCTACGACAATGCGAACCTGATCTGGTCTCCTCACGGGGTTGACCCGTCTCCTCCAGATCGAGACGGACTTCATGGACGGCCGAGCAATATTTCTTCACTACTATTATTAATTAATGCTTTTTGCACGGCTGAGCCCCCCCCCCCCCCCTCCCTGCGCTCATTCCCTGCCCTCGCCCACCACACACTCCGTCAGAGCCCCCTCCCCTCTTGCACAACAGGAATTTTGACAATTAACTGATGGGCTTGCCCATCCCGGAGTGGTTCGACTCCACACAAATCCGAGACGGTGACGGGATGCTGTCGTGGATGGTCTCAGGCCCAGTGAGGTAGTGCATCTGACTATCCCGGATCCTGCTGAACAAGCTCCTCTTGTAGCTCGATCGGTCACACCGCCATCCGCCGTCGGGGAGAGGGGGGACGACACTGCTTCGGCAGCGTGCACCTCGATCCTGCACCGTGTTTGTTATGACCCCCCCCAATGAACACACCAGTGAGGGAGGGCGAGACGATCGAGGGGTCCCGTACCATGCGGAATCGACCCTATCAAGTGCTCAAGTGCTCAAGTTGGGCCCTCTGTGTGGTGCACGCCCTCCGAGCGGGGCGGGGTCTGCCCGTCGGGTTGCTGCCCTAATCCCTCCAGGGTTGGCTGCTATATTTATGTGTTTATTCACTGCAGGCATCCGAACCGGCTCGCGCGTCCCGACTTCCTAAAGAGAAAGAATTCTACGAATACAAGCCCCTCTCACAGCAGACTGGCACGAACTAGAGAAAGAAAGAAAGCAGGCCCCCGCGATGGGCGGAGAGCCCCTTCTACCGGCTGCATCCGAGCCGTCAGCCACCGCAAGGGAGCGTGGCTATGCTCGGCTGACCGACGCGCAGAAGAGCGCACCGCACCGCTCCAACGTGGCGGGCAGAGCTTTCCTGCTCGGCTGCGCAGCACTTGCGTTGCTGTTGGTCGTGCTGGCGCTGCTCGCCCGCCTGGCTGCTTGGAATCGGCGCGATGTGGTGGCCGAGGCCTGGATGGAGCGCCACACGCCCCTCTACGGCGTCAACGTCGGTGGCTGGCTGGTCCTCGAGAAGTGGCTGTGCGGAACCACCTCCCTCCGCACGAAATGCTGCGGCGAGGTGGCGTCGCCCTACTCGGCCGCGGCTGCGGGCGACAGTGAGGACGAGTTTTCCCTCACCGCGCGTCTGCGAGCTGCGGATGAGCTCGACGCGATCGACGCCTTCCGCTCCGCGCGCGTCTCGAGCGTCGACTTCGAGGCCATGGCCTCCGCGGGCGTGACCGCCGTGCGCGTGCCATTCCCGTGGTGGGTGGCACGGGAGCCGGCGCCGCCCGGCTCGGAGGCTTGGCGCGAGGGCGCTGGCGGGTACCACGTGGGCCGCGGCATCGAGCTGCTCGACCAGGTCGTGTCAAATGCGGAGCGGCACTCGCTCTCGTTGCTCCTCGAGCTGCACGCGGCGCCGGGCGGGCAGTCGGGCAGGCAGACCACCGGCCGCTCCGACCCGACCTGGGAGCCGTCGCGCTTCGACGCCGACGGGGCCCTCTCGGCGCTGCGGCTCGTGGCTACGCGGTACAATTCGTCGCGCTCCGTCGTCGCCATCTCGCCGCTCAACGAGCCCGAGCTGCCAAACGAGGTACTATTGCCCTACTACCAGCGCGCCTACGAGACCGTCCGCGGCAGCGGCATGCGCGCCGGCCAGGTCGCCTTTGTACTGCAGCTCTACGGGCTCGGCGCCATCTTCTCGCTCGGGTGGGCGGCCCTCGACTCGCCCGAGGGGCTGCCGGCGGCGCGCTACCCAAACATCATTTTCGACCTGCACCTGTACTACGGCGTCCTCGTGCCACCTTTTCCGGCCCTCTTTGATCGGCTGGCCTCGCCGCACTTCGTCGCCGGCCCACTCGTCCATCTCGAGTCAATGCTGCTCGACGTGGGCAGCCGGCCGGCGCTGACGGGCGAGTGCGACGCGGCCACGGAGCGGTGGCGGTCACCATGAGGGGCGCAATGCCGAGCTGGCCATACCTCCCCCCGCCCCAGGTGGTCACTCCGGACGCCGTACGCCACGGACGACCAAAGCGCCCTACCGCGGCGCTTTGACGCGCAGAGCGACGGCGAGCACAATGCGACGATGCGCGCGTTGGGGAGGGCGCAGCTTGGCGAGCCGCCCCATGACAAGGCCGAGAGGATTATCACAACCACGCCGTCGTTGAGCTGGCCTCTTGCTCCATGTAGGCGCCCACTACGGCGCGAGTTCAATTTTTGCGCGCTTGCTCGGGGGTCGGACCCGCCGCGCCGGCGCCTTCTTCTGGACGTGGGGCGGCGCGCCGCACGGCGAGGCGGAGTTCTGGAGCTTCGAGGTCGCTATCGAGCGTGGGTGGCTTCCGCCGGTGCGGATGTGGGGGAGTCCACCAAATAGATGAGACTGTCTCTACTGTATAAAACTTCGAGCTGCGACAGTGCGTGCGCGCTCTCACGCGCAGAATTTTACACGTCTTTCGGCGCGGAACGTTCCAAAGTGCAAAGAAGGCCAGTCAGTCCGTGGAAATCTCTAGTCTTTCTTAGAGATTGAGAGGAGTGAGACCTGAAGATTTCAGGGCAGATCTCAGTCTCTAGTCCCGCCCTTGAGATCTCCCAAATCTTCGTCGAGACTTCAGCCACGAAATCTCAGTCTTCCCGTCGCTCGGTGTGAGTTTCTAGAGGAAGCGCGTGAGATCTCAAATGGACAAGATTCCTTTTCGCTTTGGGAGTTTGAGATTTCGATGAGGGGTGGGAGAGACTGAGACTGCAAGCAAGAGAGATTCCGTTTTCGATGCAGAATGCTGTGAACTTCTTCAACCTTCCAACGCCTTTATCTCGCATCGTTCGAAAAACATCACTTGCGGGACCACCGAAATCTACTCGGGCAGCGTGACTCGAGATTTGAGATTGAGACTGAAAGAGGCACGCTCGGCTTGCAATGCTTTGCGCCGCCGACACCGTCCATCTCGCCGCCGGCCTGAGGCGGTTCTCCACGAAGCTGCGGCCGCTCGAGAGTGAGGACGAGATCGTCGCGCTTCTCCTCGGCATGGCCCGCTACCCAGTCGACACACCCGACCGCGCAGAGCTCATCGCTGCCGACATGCAAACAAAGCACGCGTCCACGACCATCAACGTCCTCGTCAGCAGCATCGAGAGCGAGGCGGGCATCAGCGCTCTCGTGGATCTTCTCGACCGCAAGCGCTTCCATGAGCAGGAGAAATCCACGCCGCTCCACCTGGTCCCGCAGATTGAGTTCTGCGCCGTCTGCGCCTTGCAAGGGCAGAAGGTGTGCCTTGTGGTCAGCGACGAGCCCGTCCATCCGACCGTATACTGCACGCACGGGCGCTTTGGCGGGCTCCTCTACTGCAAGCGCTGCCCAACTTGCCGCGCCCACCCACCTCGACGAGACCTTGCTAGACTACACCATGCGTCGCGACCCAAAGACCGGCCGCTTCGACGCTGACTCGCTCATCGTTGCTTCGCTTCACCGACAAGTGGGGAAGGGAGCACGAGCTCGTCTGCCTCGAGCCCAAGGACGGCGGTCGAACCTGCTTGTGCTACATCATTGACGGACACATGAAATGCCGGAGGCTGATCTGCGAGAACAGGCGATTCGAGCCGTGAATCAGGGAAGTGTCGCGGACTCGTCTCAACAAGCGTCCATGTTTCTGTAGGAACGCTCGAGTCGTCCACCTCGGTGCACTAGCCACCTACTGGTAGCCCCGCCCCTATACAGTATTCCGGTTTGCAATGTCCTCGTTCCTGTTTGCAATATCCTCGTTCGCGGCATCGGCTAAAGCCTCTCATCTGATTCGGCGTAGACCGCGCGCGCAGCGCGCTCCGTGTTTGCAGACCGCCCTGGCGGACTCGTTTACACTTCCAAGCTCAGGCCAGGCGCCGCAGGCCATAAAGAGGAGCGCAGATTAAAATGGCGCCGCAGGCTCCCCGGGCCCCAAATCTTAATCTCAAATCTCAATCTCAAATCTCAGACCCAATCTCCCGGGCCCCAAATCTCAATCTCAAATCTCAAATCTCAAATCTCAGACCTCAGACCTCAATCTTCCTGCAGGTCAAACCCACCCAGCCCTTCTAGAAGCTTCGAGGCTCTTATCAGTATTCACACCGCAAATCTCCAAATCTCAGCTCTCAAATCTCTAGGTTGGAAGGCCGTCCAAATCTTCAGTCTCAAATCTTGGATCTCGAGCAAACTCGACCGCAGATTCCTTTTGGTGTGGGAAATCTCATTCTCCAAGTCTCTGGTCTCTAATCTCAAAGTATCCCACCGGAGGCCGAGTGACTGAGGTCTCAAGTCTCAAATCTCTGGTCTCAAATCTCTGGGTAGCACTGTAGACCCGAGTGGAGTCTTCAAATCTTTAAGCTCTCAATCTCTAAAGAAGACTAGAGATTTCCATTACCCCCCCCCCCCCCCAGACGTGAGGAGACGACAGACGGTCTACGGTCACGCACGCTGGTCCTCGACCTTCTTTGGCAGCAGCTGGTCCTGCTCGCCGCTGTGGCCCAGCTGGCCAAAGCCTCCATTGCCCCAGCTCCACACAGCGCCATCAGCGGTGGGCGCGAGGCTATGCATAACTCCAGCCGACACAGCGACGACGCGACGACCAGCAAAGGCCTCGAGCTTCTTCGGCAGCAGCTGGTCCTGCTCGCCGCCGTGGCCCAGCTGGCCGTGGCCTCCCAAGCCCCAGCTCCAGAGCCTGCCGCCGCCGGTGAGGGCGAAGCTGTGGATGCCTCCAGCCGACACAGCAACGACGCTTTGGCCAGCCATCGCCTCGACCTTCTTGGGCAGCAGCTGATCCTGCTGGT